CTCTTTCTTAATTTTGAGCGCCTTATTTTGTTTAGCCACACTGTGGGTACTGCTGTCTTATGTTTGGCAGTAATATGTTTCAGGATGCTGCAGGATTGATATCAGATTTTCAATTGGATGAATTATTTCCAATTTTTAGCATTGGAAATGCTTATGTTTTGTGTATGGGTATGAAGTTACCATTTTCGTCAAGCAGAAAAGAAGAGTGGTGTCGCATCAAGTGATGATTGAACCGTAGTCGACTGCAATCGGTATAGATTCAGGAAAAGTCGTGGATACTGTTGATAGGGTACTTACTTAACAGTGCGCAAAGGTTTTGTTAATTCGAAGAGATCTAGAAATCTTTTTGAAATTATAAATAGATAGGTAATAAATTGTGTCAATGCATGATCAATTTCGATTAACGCATGCCGAACGAAATAATGAAATAAAGAAGGAAAGCGTTTCATATTCTCCCTTTTATAGTCCCATGCGTTTTAAACTCACTCAAACTCGCTCTTTGCCAAAGCTTCGGTAGTTGCTTCTTTAAGAACTGGATGCACTATCGTGGTACTTATATTTATTATTTAACGAGCAATATTAAGTTGATTCTTAGATTAATATAATTGGTAAGATGTTTAATGAGGCTTATCTAAAATGTTGGCCAAGAGTATGTAGGTAATTGATTATAATTTCACTTGAAAACTCTCGAGTCGAGACGAATTACCACCCACCGGTGCATATGATATAATTATATAGCGATACTTAAACCCACCCTCCGCTACTACACTCAGTTTTTCCGAACAATTTCAGCTCGTACAGGAAAAGTATTCATTTTGATTGTACGAGTAGATTCAGGGACAATTCTGTGTATGACAGTAGGACCACCCAGTAGTTTCAATCGAGAACGTAAACCACAGAATGGCACAAATTCAATTTAATCGTAAATCGATGACAAAAATTGCGCGACAGGCTTTGAAATTCCGCCAAACGGATGTACCTCTAAAGTAAGATTTCCCCAGAATTAATAGGTTAGTAAGCTTGGAAGTATATAATCCTAATCCCAGGAGGTTTTCGAGCATTACGCTAATTTATGTTTAGAACTCATCATAACTTAGTACACAAGTAGGTAGAGTTTAATGGTATAGTATTTATTATTTTATATACGTTCCGTATTTGTCTCTTCTGCGTAGGTATATCGCCTAGGCGAAACTCCATTTTCTCCTTTAGGGTTATTAGGTAAATGTTGACGCAAACATACAATACACACACACGTAAATCCCTCGAAGGACAGGAAATAGTGCGATATCGATCGTAGAGATTACCTATACTCGCTTAATCCTCAAATGAGTGAACGTTTAGCTAAAAAATAAGCTCAAGACGACTGATTATATTTGCCAGTACGAATTCGGAATGTCTCATCGACAGATGCATTGTAATGGATTTATGTTGTCTATATTACTTAGTTTTTCTTATAAAAAAATTGGTCAATTTGTTAATAACTTCACATTACCCACTTACCAAATCTTAACATCAAATCTACCCGATGGATTTATTTGGGACCCTTTTTGACCTCAAATAAGTTTTTTTAAATTTGTCTAGATTTTGATGAAATTTGAAACCTGTATGGCCAGAGCATATTTAAATTAGAATTCAAAAGACTAACGGAAGAGAAGATCTAAGTGAGGGTCATTTTTATATACTTAGGCCTGCTTTTACGGTAGATAGTTCCTCTGCTCCATTAAAAATGTTCTATACGTAAGTACTTATTTATATCTATTGAATTTATTTTCTAGATGAGGAAGATTCTTGAAAGAAAACTTTTCTCTCGTTTCTATTTTTATACAAGAACTGCATATGACACATTTTTAAGTGTCTATGCCTTCCATTTTCACGAGTAACAACCCAAATAATGTAATAAAATGGCCGGAAATTTTCTGAATTTGGTAATTGTAAAGTACAATGTATACAAGAATGCGTACACAACTTGTTGCTCAAACAAATGAAGCTCCTTAAAACAAGATTAGTCAGCAAGTGCTCTTTAAAATTCGTTCCGAAATTAAATGATCGCTATTTGCGATAATTGCGCAATTTAGAAACTTTGGCTGAAGTATAATTTTTAACGTTCCTTTTGAATGAAACGGCGTCTAATTACAGCGGCAAAATGCGCTCTTGTCCCCAGAAATATAGTAAACTTATCAATTTTTTCACTGTAGTAGCATTAAAAAAAGATTTAGTATATTATTTTGTTGAAAGACTAGTTCACCCAACGACATTTACCTACACACCTTTTATTTGCATGAAAAGAAACAATTTGTATACGAATTTTCTTCAATAAAAAAACTGTGCCATATAACAGTGGCTAATACCTACTTTCTTATTTTAAACACAGCATTCTGTATATTATTCAAGTTTTGAATTCGTTAAGAGTTTAAGACAATGTACAATGTTGCACATTTTAAGTTTTATAATTTTTGTAAATTGTAAATTCACCCATTTCGCTAAAATCTGCATGAACATTGTTTCTTACTATTTAGACTATTTAGACAGACTAATTTACTCTGAAACGTGCTGCGCGCCACGGCCTTTTATACAAAGAAACTCTAAAATCGCCATAAAATTAAATGTACCAACGGACCCTACCCTTAGGAATGGGGGGGGGGGGGGGTCGAATGCTTTAGATGCCCGCAGATCTCAGGCTTTATTCACAAATATCGCCTCTGAAAAAAGTAAAAGGTATCGATCTTTCTTAAATTTTTACGATATAGACATTTTCACCGCCCGATAGGTATGTTATGATCATACAAACTAATACAAACAATTTCCATAATCAATCATTGCTTTGTATCTGACAAAAAATTTGATTCTAATATTCCCTGAGTTTGTAAATTTATCGATAATATAAAAATTGTTATTAATTTGGAAATTTATTAAACATAATGAGAGGTTAACAGATCCCTTTGATTTAATGGAGCCAGCTTATTCCATTTATCGTTCATATCCATTCGAGACGTTATCAAATATTTCCCACACTACAAATTACCCTACAACCGAAAATATCATTTGTGGGTGGCAAAAATTTTGATTTTTAGGACGAAGGTCATTACCTCCAAAATTTATTTATTACGAAGTAGACCTACCTATCTAATTCCTCATCTTATTCGGCACTGTAATAGCGTCTTTTAAATTTTCACAATTTCTAGCCTTTACGGGCATCGTTACTTTTTAACCCGTTACCAGAAGGAAGTGATAGTGATTTTTTCGTTTACTTTTATCAAAACACTCAATGCGTTTTCGTCTTTTCCTGCTTGGGGTAAACTTAAATTAGGTACTCATTGTCACTATTCATTAGCTACTCTATTTTCTTGCCAAATTTGTCTATATAGATTCGCTTCCCTGTTTGACTTGTTGTAAGTGATTAGCGAATAAGTGGCAGATTTGATTAAAATAAAAATCCTTCACTAATTCAACGTGCTTTTCTAACATATCATCCATCATCCAAGCAAACCCGTTTAAAAGCTGTCAATCAAATCCACGTAGATTACACTTTTTGATTTTAACAACCAATCTCTACAAAGTCTTAAACACGTAAAACCAAGATAGTATGACGGGATTTCCTCGCACCTAGCCTCTCAACGCGTAAATTTGAAAATCTGGGTCGAGCTCAGAACAAATCTCCAAGGTTACACAAAAATTTTGAATTGTGCGAAACGTATATAAAATATGTATGCTAGCGTTAGTCATTCGAGCCATTGGAATAATATTATCTGTAACTTGAGCATGTAACATCTAATTTAAATTCACCTATATAATGGAAAGCAAATAATTTGAGTTGGTATCTTTACTCATTGAACTTTCACAAGCACAGCATCATTCCCATAATTATTACGTACAATTTCAGTTTTTCATAAAAAGTCTAAACAGGAAACAAAAGAATTAATTTTGTATGACACATGAAGCTGTGTTTATTCCGAATTACTTTTATTATATTCCAATTACAAGAAATACAGTACAATTGTTGTAAGTGAAAAAATTAGAAAAGATTAATTTTTAAATATCATAGGCAATCCTAACAGTTGTGCGGTTTTCAGATAAACAAAATTGTCAGATACGTTCACAGCGAAACCGAGGTTAACGTCCAATCCTGTAAATCCTTGCGGCACATCCCTCTCACAAGGATGAATTTCCGCTAAACTTTATCTACATTTTTAATAAAAGTAATAAGATATTGAACGTTCTGCGCGAAACAAAAATACTAAGTTGCTAAATATATTTTATGAAATATTTTCTCAGAATGGAATTCGCTAAACTATAACACTTGGCGATTGGGAATTTTTTGCTTAATTACGCGAAAGTTCTAATTAAACAAGCAATTGGCTTCTTGCGTTTTAGGTGGAATAATTGCTAGCTTCCGTTAACTGGTAATTTGGTGATACGAAATTGACAACTAATTTAACACATTTCATTGAAACTATTAGACATCATAGTATAGCCCTTCACTCAACGATAGTAGTGAATGCAGCGACGCCCTTTAACCGTTGATGTCGATGGTAGATTGTATATGATTTCCAGTCGATGGTAAAAGTGGGACCGGTATAATTTTGCTAAGCCAGATTTCAGAGTCTACTAATAATGTGCTGTGTGGCTGATTTTTTTGAAAGTATATATTTTGTTAGTAAAAGAGAACGTTACTACCTACAAACACACTTTCTAATGTTCTCTCGCATTCCTGCTCTACACGCTATCGTAGGGTATTGGGTAAATTCTAAGGAAACAGCCAATTATGGCAGTCGACAGATGTATAAAACAAACACTATGTAAAGTAATTAATCTTACCCCAAAATGTAACTGTCACGGTTTTTTTTGCGTAGCTACCTACCTAAGTGCTGCCTGCTTATGACAAGAAGTGGGTAGAGTGAGCGTTTCTCATGCGAATCTGTACTGGAATGTAAAATAAGGAAATAACGTTATAATAATTGCTTTAATAAACGTTAACAATTTTCTTAAATAATTTCGTCGACTCTATAACAAATTAACAAGGGGAGGTAAACAAAATGACAATGGAATTGGAAACGGAAACACTTCCATCGAGAAAATACACACGCCAAAAACATCGAGGGCCCTTATGGATTGGTATCGTCGTGATACACAGTGGGAAGCACGTGAATGATGGTTAGTCGTTGCATTTCGAATTAGTCATTTATATTGGACAGCGCGCAGCACTCGTACACAACACTCGTATAATGAACACATTTTGTTAGAGAGAAGAGATCGATTTCACCTAGAAAAATAAACGAATACGACGAAAGTAAATAAAACTGTCACTCGAACACTTTTATTAATTGAAGTTGAGTCTTTTGCAGCTTCTAAATTCCCTCGAGTAACCTGTTCTTCGCACTTTCCAATCGCATCGAGGTCGAGGTTGCTCATCGCTTTTCCGTTCACTTCCAGCGGGGAAATGCAGTAATTTTTTGATATAAACTGTTCGACGCTACCATTGGCTAGTGGTCCCTCGATGAGAGTATGTATATGGCAGTCACACGGGAAATGATTCGATATCACCGTAAGCACATCAACTGCGAAAGAAACGCTGTCCGCTTTAGGAATATCGAGCACGTGATTCCCTTGGAATTTAATCGATCGAATGTGATGCTCGGGAGTTATGTGTAACTCTCGAATGCCGTCAATCTTGTTATTGAGGAAGTTTAAGCTTCCTATATACGACAATCCCTCAAACGCCCCTTCTCTGATAATTCCCAAGTCGGATTCTTGAATAGACATAACCCCTACGATTGTTAACCCTCTAAACGTACCAAATTTTAACGAAGGCAAATCCATGAATGCCAGCTTTAATACGCCAACTTGTTCTAGTCCATTAAACGCGTCGACTTCAATTGTACGTATTCCGGACGGCAAAGCTAAACGTTCTACGTTCGTTAATCCGCTAAAGGCATTACTCTCTATTTTAATTATCGGATTACTGCTCAAAATTAGATGCTTCAAATTCGACGTACCCGCAAAGGCGTATCCCTCGACTTTTTTTATTTTGTTGTGACTTAAAAGGATGGAGGTGATGTTTTGTAATCCGGCGAACGCGAACTGTGCTACGGTCGTCAGCGGAGTTTGCTGGATTGAAAGCTCCTTTAATCGCGGTAAGCCACGAAACGCGAAAGGCTTGATGATTGATATGTTGTTTCCGTCTAGGGAGAGCTTTTTCAAGGCTCGAAGTCCCGCGAAGGCGTCACTTCGAATGGTGGGAAAGTTGTTCCTCGTTAAAGATAGATGCTCCACAGTTGGTGGCAGTAGCTTAACTGGTATCTCGGTCAATCCTCCGGAGTTGCATAACACCTGCCGACAAGCACGAGATTAAGACATGTACGATTAGCTCGCTCAATTACTAAATTTAAGAGCTTTGCGCAAATCCCTAAGTTGGTGTACAGTAGGTATGGCTCGGTTTCGTTACAATTTCAGGGTACGTCATATAGCAGATATATCCTACTTATTTAATAATTATTTATAGAAATTCAGTACTAGGTATTGATCATTCTCATTCGTATTTGGGTGTAGTACACCAAATACTTCTATTTCTTTGGTTGATTTTGTTTAAATAATTCTCAAGTAATCCTCTAGCTGCAAATTCAAAATAATGTTACCCCTCGTGATTTTGATATTGAAGATTTTTTAGAGAAATTCGGGCCTACTGACTAAATTCTTATTCGCATTGAGAATGATGTCAAGTTTGTAGTACATACACTATTTATTTCTTTGACTGATGTTGGCTAATTAGCCTGTAGAGTGCAGAACAAAAACAAACGTAAGTCATGATAAATTTGACATCGTATTCCTGTGTTTGGTCAAAAAGTAGGAATTTGAAAGCAGCTATTTCGTACCTATAATCATAATTGCGCTACCCTGCAATTACAACGACATCCAGACCCCTGCACATATTCAGTCGTGTTATCCTTGAATGGAGTTCTTTTTAGTTTTCCATCAATGCTCTATATTGTATTTTGTTATATGTTCAATATTGTAGAGGATATCGTATAGGAAAGCATATTCATTTTGATCTACTTTTTATGACCTATAAGTACATATAAACAAATAAAATAACAGATCAAGTTTTAGCTCAGGTTTTATGGTGAACGATCTCTGTCAAACTCAAGTCAAGTTCTGCTACAATATCAAAAGAGATTTGTGCATTGCTAAGTATGTTGCACACACGCCCTTCTTCTGTTTTCGGTTTTTTTAATTCACAAAGAAAAAATCTACATTACAGTTCTAAAATAACGGCCCCTTCTCCACCAACTTTCACGCTATTCTGTCAGTTATGACTGTAGAGCCTTTTTTGTTATAACTTTAGATACTCTGAAGTTTAAATTTTTATATCTTTTTCTTGTTAGAAAGATTAATTTTATTCAAACAATCATAGACTTTGTTTGTAGCCTATATAAACGTGGAGAGCAATTAATAGAATCAGTTTTATAAAACCTGGTTTAGGCTTATGAGACGTGGTATAAACAGAAAAGAAGTGATTTTGACAGTTCGAGGAACGGTCATACAAATTCAAAAACAAAACTACGTATCGCTGTTGTAAATGTACGAAAATTATACAGAATAAAAGTGTGACGTGATAATAAATACAGTTTGGACAGATTCCGTCGATAAAGTCAATAAATCCACTATGGATGAAAATTTGTTCTTTTTTTAAATAAAAATCTTCCAGCGTTTATACAGTCCTTAAAGGTGAAATAAGGTTTGAGAACTCGGTTAGCGTGAACGTTCTCAAACTTATCTAAATGTCATTAATGCAAATGCTGCCGGAGAAAAGCCCCTATTTACCGAATAATTTATGCAAATTTTATGATTTAGAATCTGTTTCAATTTCTTGACGGATATATTCAAATTACTGGCTAAACAAAAACTAACATTAACAATTTAAACAAGTGAGAGAGAGGGTTCCGTGTAAAGAGGAAGGTATTAAAAATTATAAACACGTACCGACGAAAGAAAACCGTTTGAATTTTTCAAGCGTCGAAAAACCTTTTTCCAAACTATTAAAATATGAAATATCCGCACGTTTGCATATTTCATATTCAATGACCATCGCCTGATTCATGGGCAAATAATAATTAGTCCGCTTTGCGTAATTACCTGTGTTTGCGAGAGGCAGATGCACTCTGGAGGGCAGACGCTTGGTAAAATCATATTAAAGGCAGTGGCTTGGACCAGGACAACAGCGTAGACGTAACGCCATGCACAACAACCGGTCATCTGAAAAAAAAATGCAATCAATTCATTTGAAAACTGAAGCGTATATTAAGAGTCCACGTGACAATATTCAAGAGCTCAGGCATGAATGTACAACTTACAAGAATCTTTACATGAAGAATTTACTGCAATATTGTGATTGTTTATGATGGACTACTGGAAACCTTTTGATAATTTAATTAAATACCTATCTAAATAAACGTGTTTTTGCAATTTTTTATTTTTATGAAAATTACAATTGTTAGTTCGTTTCGAAATTAAAGCCCTGTATATAAATACTTGACTTTGCATGACAGATAAGTAGTTCAAAAGACAAGTAAAGTAGAGATATATGCATTTATTTTCTTAATTTTGGTTTAGCACCCTCATTCTCAAAGGGGGAAATGAATCCTACAGGTCTTCTGCCGATAATTAGCAATTCGCCACAATTTTAATATTAAGGCGTTTAAACTGGCAGGGCGTATAAATTAATGCGCCGTCGTCGAGAAAAATGTAATTTAGAGCTACATTTTCCGGTGAATTTTCTTAAAAATGAACTTACGATTTCCGCGTAATTTAATTTAAATGCAGGATATGCTTCATTTCTTTAATTCACTCGCCGGGATTCCTTTTTTCAACGTCGAAGAAATACAATTTACCCAGTTTCCTTGTGCTTTAAAGGGACTTGCTTTATAAGTTGTGCCGCCTCAGAACGAAACAAGTACCTATATTGCTCTTTGTTTGTAAAACCGACTTTATACCTACACGTAAACGATAATAAAAAGTAAACATAACGATCCAATTAAAACTTTCTCTAATTTAACCCCAAGTTCTCTTTAGAACGACATCTGAACTTTATGTATGGTGAATAAGCGGATAGTCATATAGTTTCGTAATTAATGCCAACAATCTGCACTTTCTATATAAACCGCATCATTACATTAGTGAAACCTTTAAATAATGAAATAAACAAATTTGGTTTAGGTACGCTTTACATGGATAACATGATATTTTTTTGTTATAGTCACATCAATTATAAAAAGTTACATTCAAACAAAGTCCCTCTTACATACCACTAGATCCTTCAGGGCAATTCACAGGGTAATATCCCGTGGTACAATGTACATTAATAAAATGTGAATACATTAGGGCAATGTGCCTACATAAATGAAATCATTATTACATGCAAAATCTTAATTAACGATGTACTCATCTGCACACACTGTTTTGTAATTAAAACAGTTTATTTCTTTTCTTGTGCGCCATTTCACAAAAGTTGTACACATTAGTCTTAGTAAATAAGAAAATGATCTAATTTAAGGGAACTTCTGTTGTTCTCTGAAAGGAAAATAAACTATAAGACCGAACGGGACGACGGTAATTAAATAAATTTGTAATAACAAAAGACATGATAGTAAAAAATTATACGCTCCTGTTTGTTCAGTGTATAAATCCTTGAACGTAAGCGATATTCTTTCAAATTTTATAGGAACGGCAGTTTTGAAATTTGCTAGCTATTGAGATGGAGACTAAACCGATTAGTTAATTGCACTCCAAGCAAAGCTACCGATATACAGGAATTGTTTGTACCATATCGCATCTTCGATTGAAGAGTGATCTTAATTCCGCTTCCTCCCAAGTCTTGTGGTATACTTCTGGTATGAACTTTGCTTTATTAATCCTCCGGTTGAAATTTCCTTCTTAGACGACTTAAATTAAATGTCTTTTTTTATTTATTTAAATCTCGCAATTAACAGCGAGCTTGTTCAACTGCTTCAACATTTCGATATTAAACGAACTAAAGCAACGTTTATCGGGGGTAAATACACAAGAGCTTGATTTTTTATCGGAGAATTTTATTTTTACACGGAAAAAACTCGAGATCAAAAGTGTGAAGCCGGAGCGATTTTATCTTATGCTTTTGATGGAGTTTTTTCCAGGAGGCAACAAAATTTGAGTGAATTAAAAATAAAATTATTAAAACCAAGATCGAGTGTAGTTTAGGGAGATTAATACAAGGCAGTAGGTAAATTTCCCAACCACTGTATTTTACGCATCTAGGAACACGTGCTGTTACACGCTTGCAAATTCGGAACTTCGGGAATTCGACTGGTAATATTATTATAATATTTTTGTTCTCTTATTTGGCACACCATTCTATTTCAGATCGACATGGATTTTAAAATACACTTCAAAAGTAAAGATGACAGAACAGCATTTGTTTCTAGATACTAGCATTTTTTATATCCTACATGTACTATCTGGGAAATAAATCATAGTGGATTGTTAACAGAATGGGAGCAAAACTCCCAAAAAATTCTTTCGTTTTTAATCATGGAGAACCACGTCAAAGATCGAAAACAGTTAAAACGCTGAACACTAAACCAGGAACTGACAGTAAGCATTTTCATTTTTTATGTGTATAGGAGAACAAACACCAGAATTAGAAAAATCCATTGGTCTCTTCTAGAGGCATTCATTATAATTTTAAATCTTTCTTAAAGTGATGGTTCAGTATCTACTTAGTTAAGTACCTACTAATAAAATAGTCAAAAAGAATATAACCGACAAGAAAAATAAACAAATTTACCATTAAGGATTCTCAGGAATCAGTTATTTTTCTTAGAAGAATTACTTATTTAAACAAAACCAGCAGTGCAATTCAGCCCTCTATTTATTACATTGGACAACATATGTACAGGGTGACAATTTGAAAACTTACCACCCCCCATATCTTAGTAAATAAACGAGATATTTAAAAAAATCAAAATCCGTTTCGGTAATTCGGAGGGGGAATCACAATGACATAGTTGGCGACGCACCCCCTCCAACCCCCTGCGCCCCAGCCACCCCAACTTTTAAATCTTAAATAGTGACCCCCCATGTGTGATACGTCGTTGGAAAGCTCTGAAAAAATACTTTCCAACCATACCAAATACCATTACATTTAGGTTAGTAATTATCGTGCAAATCAAAAAATAAACTAATAAGATACATTTGAAATCTATCGTATTTAAAACGCAACCGGCGAACATAGACGAACTAAGACAGAGAATAATTCAAGAATGTCGAAATATTGTAAAACCAACATTTGAAAAGGTTCGACAAGAGTTTGAGAATAGTTTATAACTGGCCATCAAAAATGAGTTGCTGTCGAGTCGGCTTTGGAAGTTCAAGTTAAATACGAATTTCCATGTTTATTTTTTGATTTGCACGATAATTACTAACCTAAATGTAATGGTATTTGGTATGGTTGGAAAGCATTTTTTCAGAGCTTTCCAATGACGTATCACACATGGGGAGTCACTATTTAAGATTTAAAAGTTGGGGTGGCTAGGGCGCAGGGGGTGTGAGGGGGTGCGTCGCCAACTATGTCATTGTGATTCCCCTCCGAATTACCGAAACGGATTTTGATTTTTTTAAATATCTCGTTTATTTACTAAGATATGGGGGGTGGTAAGTTTTCAAATTGTCACCCTGTATAAACCAGTAGGTGTGTTTCAAATACAAATGATCTGAGATCCTGTTTGAATTGATTGATTTTCCATTAATGCAACACTTAGAACTTTCTTATCAACGATTATAAATTATTTTGTCATCACTTTATTCACAAAAAAGCACAATTTGTTAGGTCCAAATGTGGAAGACAATTACATAGGTATATGACGCGAATTTTTTTACAACAAAAAAAGTATAAACAAATACACCCCTAAATAATCACAGCCCAAGTCCACAGGTCGAAGGGCGTACGTAGAACACTGTCCAAAATCGCTTTGAAATAACGCAAAATGGCATCGAATAAAAGTTAAAAATGGATGAATAAAAAAACATCAATGTAAAGTCAAATGCAGCATTTTTTTAAGCGGAAGATTGCATTTTATTTGCGGGCTCTTACCGCATGCAGTGCGCCTCTTCAATGGAAATATTCATCCCCTCCCACACAGGTTTGCACTCAGAACCCTAGTACGAAATTTTCTTTTTTAGATACACAAGTGTTAGATGTACAAACTCTCAAAAATTTGGGACCATACCCAGCAATATTCTGCACCAAAGCAGGGGCTGCTGATGGGTGCATCAAATCTCTGCAGAACATTTTATTAGCTATACTGGCGCATAAGAATCAACAAAAAACGGAGCCGAGAATGAATTAGAAAACCGTGTATTGCGGCGTGAATGACTGAACGCGCTAAAAGATAAACTGGGAAACCCATGAAAGGGTAAATTAGTAAATAAACGTGGAAATGGGAAAAACTGCCACCCTTTTCCTCTTTTATTGCACGGTCTAGATAGAAGACGGATACGGATTGCTTAAATTTATCACAACCTAACCAACCGTAGCTGAGAATTATGTTAGGTGCTTTCTTCGCTGTTATAAGATGGCGCGTTTTAATTACCATAGGGGTATGAACTCTTAATTCGCGCCTTTGTTTTGAGGGCGTTGAAATCGATTACAGCGACGTGTAATCCTAAAACAATTGTTCCACTTAATTCGACATATTAATAATGCACGAGGAAGGCGCCCTTAATGAAGTAAGGGTCGTATGCATCAAGATTTATTTAAAGAAAATGGAGTCACAAATAAGATTACAGTCTTAATGTCAGCTAAAGCGGTAAAACGCGTGAAGTAGTTTACTAAAAGCGAATAACAAACTGCTCTCTAAACTACATCTGCTTCTCCATGTGAAAAGTGGGGTTAGGAGGAAAAAAGCGAGAGGGATAGAGTTTGTCTAGTATACAATTTCCGGTTATACAGGACACAGAACGCGTTATGGCTTGTAGAGTTGAGTTGAGGGGTTTTATTTTTTGATGTAAAGATCACACTTTCTCTCTAAAGGTCGACTTTTAAAATGCAATAAAGATACCGATACGCCTGTTTGCTTGTCATACGTTTTGAAAATACGGCAGCCGTTCTCGCTCCCTCTCACTTTTGTTTCGATTAGTAGTACCACGGCCCTTTTTTGCAGTATAACTTATGAAATTCGCCGCTTGAGTTTTTATCGTTTAGGCGAGACGTGCTTTGGTTA